GCTGTAGAGGAAGGAATGGTTAGTTTACTAATTCATTCCTGAAGGTGAAGATGCATAGATTTAATTATATTATTTTTCTTCTCTCTTTTTCTCACCAGGTATCTGTGAAGGAACAACAAGACTGGAAGATTCCCCCATGCATCTCTAATTGGAAGAACAACAGAGTAAGTTCCCTGTCTGTGGAAGTGACTTATGGTTGGTTGTGAGGTTGCCCTTTTGTATTGTAGCGGAACTCTATTCTCGTGTAAATGATTACCTCTACCCTTTACCCCCTACAGAGCTGTCCTGATACGTGCCCTGATTTATTTTTTTTAGAGTTTGTCCTACTTTCAACTCCGTTGCATCCCCTGATTCCAAGGTAATTAATGAAAAATTCTTCTAGTGGGTTGATTTGTTCTAACAAAGGCTAGAAGAAAGCTGGATTCCTGATCTATCCCAAAAACATGATGCTGACCTGTGTTGATTTGGTGATTCAACACACCCCCGCCCTCGCACACACACACACACAAACACAAACTTTTGCAAACCGACCCCAAGGTCTAGATTTATCAGTGCTCTTTATCGGGCTGCTGTTGGAGATGCCTCCAGTTTGTAACTGGTGAAAGTATAATCTCTTTAGTGAGCGTTTACTTATCAGTTGGTCTAGTTTGGATGGAAAGTGATAGATCTGATGTTGAAAGTTCAATAGAGGCGCCTAACGTTCTGTGAAGTGATCTTGCACATTGGTAATTTGTTGTTTTTTCCACAGCACTTATGTAGTTTGGGGGTACTGCTGACAAATCCCATTCTTGATTGTCGCAGTTGTGGCCTGTCATTTTTAGCGGGGCTTTGTTTTGTTTTTTCCCCCGTTGTGCAGGTTATCATGTTGATGTGTTTCTCTTAACCCAAATTTTAAACAAATTACTTTGAGTTATATTTAGGGCTCTTTTGACATTTAATTTGGTGTTGTTAATAGTGTGCTTCTTCCTCCAGGGTTACACAATTCCTCTGGACAAACGTTTAGCTGCAGATGGCAGGGGCCTCCAGGGTGTTCGTATCAACGAAAATTTCGCAAAACTGGCAGAAGCTCTCTACATTGCTGACAGAAAGGTAAGTAGTTGATAAGAGTTATTATTTTGTTAGTTTGACTTTTCATCGACGTTTCTGTTTTTTTTATTAAAAAACATATTTCAGTTCTTGTGAAAATCATATTGGTTGTTAATGAATTACTCAACTGTGTCTTGAGTCCTGAATTAAAAAGAAATCCTTTGATGTGCTTGCATTGACTAATTTGTTAAGTTTGAGTATAGGATTATTTTTGTTACGTTTATTTACAAGTGGAAGTGAAGAAAATGATAGGCTGAGATACCCTTCCACCCTATGTTTGGTCCTGGTGTGTAGTTCATCCTAACATTGTGTTTAGTAAACACTTATAAAAGGGTTTAGAAGCATTATATGGTTTTAATATAGTGTGGACCTTGGAAAATGAATCTGTAGATACTTTGATAAGAAATTAAACATACGTAGGAATGGTTCAATGAATCAAGATGCAAAACTCCAGGCAAATAGAAAAAAAAATCAATACATTTATTTGAGTTGTCTTGCCCATGAACTAAATGGGTTGAGAGAGATAAAAATAGTCATAATGAACCTGGATAAAAGTTTTTGAGGACTTTTGATGTTATAAAGCAGTTGTGGAAAAAGATTTATAGAGGAAATGTCAGATGTTTCTTTATCTGAATCTCATCATGTTCTTTCAATTGATTTTTTTAAATTTTACCCCAGGCCAGGGAAGCTGTGGAAATGCGTAACACGATTGAGAAGACCAAGGTTAAGAATATCAAGGAGAGGAGAGAGCAGAATCTGCGCCAGCTGGCCCAGAAAGCCAGAGAGGAAAGAGCTGGAATCCGCAGGGAGGATGGTGGAGGTAAAATATTACATGGGGGGTTCCATTGTCCTCAAGCTTTATATTCTGTTTTAGAACGGGGAGGTTCACAACACTTGTGTAAGTCTCTCTCTCTCTCTCTCTTCTGGCGCTGTGGCTTCATAAGCGGTCAGCGATGCCGACAACACGCAGGAACTCAACACTCGCACGGGGGTCCTTAAAAAGTGCTGAAAGTGGGTTACTGAAATGTCCCAGCAGACGGGTTCTAGCACGATAGCTGGCGGGACACCTCAGGAACACATGGTCCATAGTTTCGTCCTCCTCCTTGCAGGCTCGACAGGACGGATCTGGGTTGTCTGCTGGCGCAATTTTGTGGAGATATGATCTCAGCTTGGGCGATTTTCCACCAGTTCTCATTTGGGAGAGACTGTCGTCTGAGCGAGGCCTCAAGCTGGAATGACGGCGGCTGGGCAAACGGCAGTTTGGGTTTCGCCTCTCTTTTCCACTTTGCGCGGGTCGATCGGTGGATGACGGCTTTAGCTGTCGAGAAATCGATTGGCGTGTCAATCTGGGTAAGCGCTGTTGCTTCTTTGGCGATGCTGTCAACTTCCTCGTTCCCAGCCAGTCCGGCGTGGCCTGGAATCCACTGTAAGTGGATGGAACATTCAGAGCGTTGACAGAGGGTGTGCAGATGTTGCCAGATTGAGCAGGCCACCTTTTCCGATTGGTTGGTAGGGCCGTATGAGAGGCGCATGACTGCTGATCTAGAATCAGTGTATACATGGATGCGTGCACTGTTCGGAAGGCTGCCTGCTGTATGTAGTGCCACAAGCATGTCAAGCGCTGTGTCGAGAGCTACAAGCTCGGCCCTGTAGCTGGAACAATACCGGCCCGCAGGTACACGTTGGTCGAGTTCGGTATCGCCGGTCTTGATCAGTATTCCACTTCCTCCATACTCAGTACCGTGCTCAGCTGAACCGTCAGTCCAGACTTCTACATCGGGCAGGGGGAGCGAACGAATTGTAGCCTCTGCTGCTGCTTTCCTGACAGCTGGTTCATTAGCACGCTTGCAGTCGGCGACAAGATCGGTGCTAAAAGTCACGTTGTATGATGCAGCCTTCCACGGTTGTGTGGGGGTAAAACAACCAGCTCCTCACGTGAGTACGTATCCAGTTCAGTTTCGGCTACGAGGTTCTGGGCATGCTTTCTCCAGTTCGACTTGCCTGTCCGCGTGGGCACTGATTTTGTTGCGGAGGCTTTGCGTTGGTTCGTTGTAGGCAGACGCATGGACTTCTCGAATGAGATGGCAGTCAAGGCATCAGCTCTATGCCTTAGTGGTAAAATGTCTGCTTCGATGAGGAGGCTGTCCACACGAGTATCCTTTGAGCAGCCTGTGATGATTCTTGCTGCTTCATTCTGCTTTCTTTCCAGTTTCTGCAGATTGGAGGGTTTGGCAAGAGGCATGTAGGCAGGGGCACAATAGTCGATAGCTGACCGACAAGTAGCATAATATATAGGCTTTATGCATTCTCTGGAGGCACCCCAGGTGGTGCCTGTAAGGGCTTTCAATGGTCGAAGTCTGCTTGAGAGTTTTAACTCAAGGTTTTGGATGTGGGCGTTGGAGGATAGAGTACGATCAAGTGTAACCCCAAGTAAGGTGGGGTTGGAGTTGAAGGTGATGGGGGAGCCTTTGAGTGAGAGTGCTGGTTTTCGCTTGGCCTCGTGGGTGCTGGTGGTGAAGAGGGTGCACTCTGTTTTCTCCGTACTGATTTCCATCTTGTTTTGCTTTGCCCACTGCTCAAGTAAGTTTATGGCTGCTTGGACACTGTTTTCAGCCTGATTTATGTCTTCGTTACTTGTGTAAGTGAGAGAAAGAGAGCGTTTGGAAATAAGATGGTAATGGCTGTGTTTTTGCTGGCCTCTATAGCTGCCAAAATCACTCAGCATTTTGTTCCCCTAGTCTTGGAAGTTGGTAAAGGAAGGGTATTTTTAAAAAAATGTTTTTAATACATTTCATGCTGTGTGAATTTACCAGGATTGCGTACCCTTGCCTAAGTCACTTAGTAAATTTTTGAACTTTCAAGCTAACAATTGTATGTTATGGCATACCTGTGAAAAGCAGGCTTAAAGATTATCTTTGAAAGTCCTCTGTCTGTGTATCTCTTTTCTGAACATTTTTCAATATTTATCTGCACTGATCATACACGATTACACCTTCCAACCCCCCCCCCGGGGCGGTGCTACAGACTGAAGTGTCTTTAGGCCATTCCCAAAGGGGAAACGTTACTTATGCACAGTAGAATTGTAAATGGGACTATCGTCATTTTTCCTCTGTTTATTTTGTATGTTTGTCACACTCTTCCGCTATTTCCGGAGTGCCCTGATAGTCGAAGCAGACTTTGTGCTGTTGAAGCTAGAGAGGTGAGCAGAGTAAGCCTGATTCCCTGCAAGGACTTCTCTGTTGACATCCACCCCCTGGCGCTCATATATATGACCTTATGCAGTTGCGAGCGCTGTAAAACCTTACAAAAACTAAACAACATCCTCCTTTTAATATCACCTGGTCTTCCAAGGGTATATCTTTGTTCATTTGCATTTCAAATAAATGCGATCTGAATCAGGACTACTTGGACTACTTTCAATATCTTTTTCTTCGCTATCCTTTCCCATATATGCTCATTCAGTACCTCTCAGCTGTGTAGGATGGCTTTGCTATTATTCAAGTAACCTGCTTTGAATTGAGGACTTAACAATGACAATGATTGTACTTGAATTTTAGATTATCAAAGAGTGATCTCCTCTGTGTTTTTTTTGTTTGTTTGTCATAGCTGCCACTTTCCCGCTAAATAGCGGAAACTCCGCTTCATCTAGCTTTTCGCACTACTTTCCTCCTTCCTCCGCTGGACCGCTCTCGGTCGCAAATTGTGATATTGCGATACTTTTTTTTTTTACACGCGGAAAACATCAAACAGGGAGAGAGACGAAAACACAGCTTGCGCATGTCCGCCCGTAGCTTTCTACTTCCGTTCTTCTAGGCCAAGCGCTAGTTTCACACTGTTTATTTATTGTGGAGCAACAAAGTGTCGATCGGGCATCGGGACGTTGGCGCGCCGAGTTATCTTTGAAAACGGCGGAAATTCGAGAGAAATTGATGCAGAATGCAACAATAAAAGGAGCTGGAATGAGAAAGAAGCAGCCGGTGTGCGACTTGAAAAGTTCATTAGAAAATTGAACAAGCCGCTTGCTGCACTTTGAGTTTGGTGCGATAAAGAAATCGCGGCCGGCGGCACTCCTGTACAACTGCGGTCCCGTTTGTTTACATGACGGCTTTTGTGGCTGTTGAAGTGAATCTAGATCTAGATAATCTATCTCTAGATATAATCTAGATTTACACATATTTAGATTTTAGATCTAGATTAGATAGCCTAGGCTATAATTTTAATTCAGTTTAGATCTACACACTACAGGGGCACTACTAAGTTTTAAAGTGCAAACGGGACCGCAATTGTACAGGAGTGCTCAGTACAGCGGCAAAGGTGTTGCCTCCTTGATCCTATACTGCGCGCGCTCTACATCGATGTACAAGTTTAAAGTGAAAGAAATCTTTTTATAAGACACCAGCTGGCAACAAACACTGGATTTTTAGTCACCAAGTCCAAACTGTCAAATTGACTCAAATGCTTGTTAGTCAACGCACTGCCTTTTTTTTTTTTTCCCCAAATACATTTTAATTCAGTTGCCTATGGTTAACAAATATGACAGTTTTCCCTTCCAAAAACCATAGATAGGCTAGATTTTTCAGTATATATTGCCTCTGGATCTCACTGGTTTTACTCCAGCCTTCAGAGAGCGCGCGTCCGCCTTCGCTTGAATTTCCTCCTTTTTTGAAATTCCTGAGTGGCAGCTATGGTTTGTTTGTTTGTTTTGTTTTTGGTGAAGGAATGTCAAATGTCACCTTTGTGTGGGGGGGGGGGGGGGGGGGTGTTGTTATCACATCATACCGGGAATCCCTGTGTGTGTGCAGACTGAGAAGAATTGTAAGCATAAGAATTCCCTATGCACAAAATGTGTTAATTCATATGTTCAAGGACTGCTGTGTGACAGTTGTTGGTTTTGTTGGCTTCTTATTGTTTAGTTTTATTAATTTTGTCAGTTATATTATTTTTCCCTTACTCATCCATGTTTTTCAAAATTTGTGATTTAAAAAAAAAATGTTTCCTGTGTTCTGTTTTCAGATAAAGATGAAGTTGTTGCAGAGCGTGATGAGATCAGAAAAGATCGAGCCAAAGAGAGAGCAAGAGACAGGAACATTGCTCGAGCTGCGCCAGATAAAAGGTATTTTGCTGCTATATGAAAGGTTATCTCGTCATTAAGTAGCCTTTCCTTGTATACTGCTCTCAGATCACCGGGTGTGGTAAACTTTCAGAGAAGATGCGTAGTGATAGTGTGAAGTGAACTACAGTGGATGCAGTTGACATAATTTCTTTGAATTTGTTTTCTGAGTGGAGTAGACTTGGCAGCAGTCTTTCTTCCCTTGATTCACAAGAGTACTCCACTTGTGTTTCAAAGGACCAGGGAATTCAATGATTGTTGCAACTATCTGCATTCATGTTTATTTTTTTTAATACAAGGACACTCTGTAATGCTGATGCTTCCAATTTTGTTAGTTTTTGTGTTGTAATTGTATGGATTTGATAGTAGTTGTACTTGTCATTTTGATCCACATGCTTTAACGGGATTGAAGTCATTCACGGGTCTTGTTCTTTGCAGTGCTGGAAGTCATTTTGTGAATGCTTTAGAATATATTGAATATGTCACATTGTCAATATCTCCTGTATGCTTCTTAATCGTGATGGGTTTTGCTTTGGATGGCAAGAGAACACAGCCTTCAGAAAAAAGTTTCCAAATGACCATTACAAATTATAGAGTTGTTCAGGAAAATCTGTACAGGGGGAACATACATGATGTTCTTTATTTTGAATTCTTTCTCTCAGTACTGTTACTATTACTACTGACCCAGGAACTATCTTTTTTTCAACTTTTATTCTAATCTTGTGAAGAAAGAAAATTTTTTTTCCTCATCAAAAGTTGGATCCTGGAAGGATTTAATGATTATAGTAGATATAGTTTTATGTTAATTGTTACTGTATAACCTAATGTTATTTACTCAGGCTGACCACATGTTTTTGCCGTAAGCAGAGAAACTATTTCCATTTTTGTCTGCTTCGACACAAGCATTGCAATCTCTCTTTCTCTTATTGAAGATGTCTTTCTTCCCCAGAAATCGTCTGCAAAGAGACAAAGAGAGAGACATTAGTGAGAAGATTGCTCTGGGCATGCCAAACACTGGGGCTGGAGGAAGCAGAGAAACACAATTTGACCAGAGACTTTTCAATCAGTCAAAGGTATCAGAATTCATTAGCCTTACAAAACTCACACACACACCTGTCTAGTTCTACTACTGATTGATGTATGCAAATGATCAGTTTATTACCTTGATAAGCCAAGTTTGTTTGTAATTCTCTATGATTGATGTTGTGATTTTTTAAAAACTTTATTTAGTCTTTTGTTCCCTCTGCCTTTATAATACATATTTACCGTGTGCTGATTTTTCTCATTTGAAATCCCTCCTTGTTTATAGAATATTGAAATATTTCATGGCACTACGGTTTCCTTATTTTTTTATCGTCCCCTCAGGGTATGGACAGTGGTTTTGGTGACGATGAAGCCTACAATGTCTACGACAAGCCATGGCGTGATGAAGGGTCCATATCCCGCTCCATATACCGGCCATCAAAGAACATTGACAATGACCAGTATGGAGATGACTTGGAGACAATCATGAAACAAAAACGGTAACATCCCTGTAGTCTATGGTCATTGATGTTTCGCATTGTGGTTATGGCATTTTTTTATAGTTTTATTTTAATATTCATATGGGTTTAGTTTTTTGCTGTATGAGTAATTGCTGTGTACCTATGATACGTCTGATTCTTTGTTTTTGTTGTAGCTGCACTTCTCCCTTCTGATAAATAGGTCCTTTCATTGGCATCAGTCTACATTTCTCAGGTTATTGATATTAATGTGAAGCTAGTGGTGGTTTTGTTGTTTGTTTGTTGTTCTTTGTGTTGTTGTTGGGGTTTTTTTTGTGGGGGGGGTATTGGCTTAACTCAAGCCCACCAAAAGTCATGTGTGT